TACAACTTAGAGTTTGAAATTGGGCTGGCACTCCTACTTCGCGATGAAATCATGGTTTCTCTACTTCTTCTATTAGATCCGTTATGGTGAAAATTACTTTTGTTGCGATATCCAAATTGTAAGTTTTTAATAATTTTTTGATGCCTTCCATGTCACTTTTAATTTTGTCAACCTCCGAAAAACTATTGACAGCAGAAACATTGACAAGTTCAGTTTGAGAAATTTCGTAAATATCATCAGCTTTTTTTGCCAAATCTTCTAAAGATATTGTATTAGCAGTAGATAAAAGGATCATCTTTACATTGGATGGAAGCCGCTTCATCCACATTTCTCTAAGAAAGCTATCGTTCAACTTAATATCACCTGCGAAGTAATTGGGAAGGAGTTCTATCACCAAGTTCCTCGGAAGCAATTAATTGATTAATCCTTTTCTGTAAGGATATTGAAGTTCGCTTGATTAATTCTTCTTCTAATTTGGAAAAGGGATTAGCTTGTGGAGGATCTAGAATAATGTCTCTGACCTTCAATACTGTATCTTGATCTAATACAGCAATGACATGGTGAAATTTTGTATTTTCTGCAATAATTCTCTTCGTAGTAAATACTGATTCAACTTGAGCAAACCATAGATTTGCATCATTTGCCAAAAAACTAGGTAATTTAATATTTACTGATAATACTGCTTCGTTGTTTTCATTCATGGTTCAAAACGAGGTCACCACTTATTATGTTGACTGAACACAATATTTGAAACTGGAAGATACTTTTTTGGGAGAATCAAGAGCAATTCAGTTATTAACTTTTTTATAAAAATTAAAAAACAAAAACGTAACTATTTATCTTCACAACCTACCAAAGCTAATTACACATGAAAAATATACAATAATAAAAACACAAAGGAAAAAATATAAAGGTAAAAATACAATGGTAAAAACACAAAGGTCACTACAGTAAAAATTGCTGCAAGATTTTCTCCAAGGAAAGACAGGGCCACTAAATATTAAGTATATTGAAAAAACCGCCATATTTCTAAGATAGTGAACAAATTATGGTTTATAATGTTTGACCTTATTTTTCCTTAGCAGATTTTAAACAAACAGTAGGTAGGTACCTAACAAAATTGAATACCTTTAATTTATTCAAGGATTGTATGACAAAGTCAGATATACACTAAGAACATCATGTTTAACAGAGACACACAAAGCGAAGCAATGGAAAAGCAACACGCGATTACGCGACGCTAGATCAACCCGTGGCCCGTGGCAGCCATCTTAATTGATTTGTTTTGTATTATTTTCCATAAATTGATTGATGACAGAAAAATATGGTTGACGACGTTGACGTTTTGTTATGATCTATATACATTTTAGAAACTACAAGCTTGTTTATTTTGGCTAATATGGTAGTGTAAATATAAAAAGTACAATATTTTTCGCAATTTCCCAAGATAAAATCGAGAAAATAGCATTTTTTGTCGCCATAAGCCCCAATATTTTTTAAATGTTACGAAATCATAATATATCATTGTAGCTAGTAAAGCGACCTTTTTGATTTTGTGGTCATTTTGTAGCACCTACTTAGGGAGACCCTACTAATACTTGTCTTTCAATGCACAGAATAGTTCTCTCCTGAATAGGCGACATTTTCAAAGGTTTGATGCGCAATGAGCATACATTGAATTTTCCAAGTATCTCCACAAAAAAAAAAGTCTCAGGGCGTAAGCTCTGGTGACCGCTGGATAATTCGGAATATCTGCCAATCCGCTTTCTAGAATAGGTAGGTATGCTAAACTTAGTCAATTCCAAAGTGCTTCTAAACTGAAAGCTTCAATTCATTGGAGATTTCGTTGCTTAAAATTGTTGCAAAATTTTGTCCAAAGAAACAGGGGCCAATAAATATTACCTCGCATTTTTTGGAAAATACACCTTGATGAATTTTTTCACCAAAAGTTTCTTGATCTTGAAAAGAATAACTAGGTACACTTTCTCTGATTTAGAGTCTGTTTTAACTATACAATTATTTTTATGAAATAAAATACTCTTTGCTTGGAGTTCTGTTTTATTCTAATGAAATAATATCTTCTGGATTAGAGGCTCGGACGACTTCGCTAAAATAAATATGATATTGAATCTTTGAAAGACTGAAAAAATTTTAGTTTCCATGAGGTTTGAAATTATTTTTCAAGCCAAACTTTGAGCGGAAGTCGAAGATAAAGTTATTTAACCCGAGAGTACACGCGTGTCGGTCAAAAGGATAAAATCAAAAATTACGCCACTGCTACAAAGGTGAGCAGTTTTGTCCATCCAAGAATGCCTGATGCAGGTTTTTCACTACCCATTGGCGCAACAATATTTTGGTTTTTTGTTGAAGTATAGTTCGTTGTTCGTTGAACCTGAGTATCTAAAATATTATTTGTGTTCAAAATTGGCATTTTCTGATATTGGGAGTACCTTTGGCTGTCGATAATATGGTAACTGTATACTGCATAATATAATTCCCTCTGATATTATTATGAATTCTAGGAATTATAGTGCTTTTACTTTTATAAAGTCTGTTTTCTTTGGGATGTCAAGCCTTTTCTACGTAGAAAATTTGAAAGCATTGACAATTTTACATTGCATTGCCAACATAATGTCATTTTGACTTTTATCTTTAAAAAAAAAACAGACTTTACATACATCTGGGCATGCGGTTGATTTGACCGCACGCGTGTAATGACGTAAGTTTTCTGACGCGTGTAATGCCGGGTGTCACATTGTTAACCTATATCGAGATTTCACCATATAAACATTCCTATTTTGCATTTTGGCGGAACAAAATAATTATAAAACTTGCCCAGTTTGAAATTGTATGTTTTTTCAGTTAAAATTTGATCATCGATAATTTTATTATTTAATAAATGATGTGGTTAGAATTCAATAAAACATCGAAGCATAGGTACTCAATGTCTACTTACAGCTGTTTTGGGAAACAAACAAAGTTTCAATTTCCATTTGGCTTTCAAAGAACAAAAAAGCATTAACCTTAATATTCTGTTGAATGCAATCTTCGCAAGGAGGGAATTCTGGCCTGATTTATATAGATAACACATTGGCGGATGGTTTCTGCTTTTCGGAAATAAGGGATTTTTAAATATCTTTATTTTCAATGGATACAAATCATAATGACAATTCTCCTGACAAAAACTGGTGAGAACAGAATTAAAAGGTATTTACCTGATTAGGTGAATCGATAATACACCTATAAATCAATTAATAAAAGATACTAAATTTTAATAAAAAATTATACAGAAAACATAACAAAACTGGTGAGAACAGAATTAAAAGTTGTTTACCTGGTTAGGTGAATCGATAATACACCTATGAATGATTTAATAAAAGATACTAAATTTTAATAAACAATTATACAGAAAACATAACATTTCTTCCCCCCTTCAAAGGAGTTCCTTGAGTTAACTCTCTGGGCTCGCTTAGCCGAGGTAATTTATGAGCCCGACCTGATCTTCTTGGCATATCTAATGGTGTACCGGTCAGACGGAGAGAAGGCTCAGTTTGCACTGATGATGCATCATCCGGCATGGTCGGTGCATCATCCTGCGTGGTCATGGTCTCCGCCAAAATGGTGTTTTGTGCTGTTACTGCTAACGGCAAGTCCTCCGAATTTGAAGACTCTGCTCGATCCAGTGTAGAAGTTCTACTGGAAGCCGCTTCCGAAATAGGAAGGTTTATTCTAGAGATTTGCGTTTGTCTTGGACAGGTAATCTTTTCAAAATGGAATTTATTTGAAGTGGAGGACTCGTTGCTCAGTTGTGGTTTAAGTTCACTTCCGTAATGTCCTCGAATCTGGTCAACATAATGCCTCATAAAACGTTTTCCGAAATAGTCTATTTCATAGTGAAGATCACCATGACGAGAAACAATTGTACCAGGGATCCATTTTTCCATTCTTGGGATTCCAGGGAGAAAATAAACTGCTTGAGTTGGGTAGAATAAACGAAATGAAGGTTAGAAAGATGATCTTTGTCTTTCGTTGATTTTTGTATATAAATCTTCAGGCTTGAGTAAATCGAGGCAAGTTCGCAAGGTTCGATCTGGGAAAAGCTGTGCTGGAGATTCCCGGGAGTTGTCGCCATAATTTTGAGGTGATCTTTGACGGTTTGTATGTTTCTTTCCGCTTGGCCGTTGGTCGATGGGTGATAGGGTGCTGTCCGTTTGTGATACCTACTTAACCCCGATTTGCTGAAGAAACTCTTTAAATTCGGCTGAGGTGAATTGTGTACCATTATCAGAGACGACAGTAATGGGAACTCCATAAGCAGTGAATACTTCGTCGAGAATTGCTACTGTGGATACCGTTGTTGTACTGCTTGTAATTATGACTTCGAGCCATTTGCTGTAAGCTTCAGAGATAATGAGCAACATTTTTCCAGCAGAGGGTCCTGCGTAGTCAATATGGATGCACTCCCAAGGCCCATGCAGATATTCCCAATGGTGGTCACGAAATTTTGGTGGTGCGTGTGAACATTTGGCAGAGTCGTTATAGGATTTGGCAGTATGCTCGATATCCGCATCGATTCCAGGCTAGTTTACGAAAGAACGCGCAATGCCCTTCAATTTCACAATGCCCAAATGAGATTTATGTAGGTCATTGAGAACTGCTTGACGTAATTTGGACGGAATGACGATTCGATGCTCGATAACCAGGCAGTTTGTGACAAGCTTGTACTCAAGTTCGGGTGCCTTGTATCCGGCACGTGCGAGGCTTTGTCCTGATTTTAATTTGCGAGGTGCGAATAAGCGTCTGTGATATCAAGATGACAAAAAAATTTTGCATTCTTCATTTGGTTGAAAATATGTTCAGGTTTAGGAATAGGATATTCATCAATTATCATTTGAGGATTGATAGAGTGTATTAGGTTTATAGTTTCCTGTTATGCGTATTTTTCGGTTCCTTTTTACCACTACATGTGTCGTAGACGCCCATTTTGAGTAATCGACCTTTTAATAGAGTCCTGTTGCAATCTTCGCCACAATTTCTCTGGCGTACATGTCGCGTAATGCCAGTGGAATCTCTCTTGTTTTTGCGAAGACGGGTCTTGCTCCTGGTTTAAGGTGCAATTCTTCAGGTGGCCCTTTGAGTTTACCGGCTGTCGGGCTAAAGACGTTTTCATATTTCGCTAGTAGAAGATCCAAACGATTTTTTTGATCTTGACTTAGACATGGTGTCCCAGTAGATATCATGTGCACTTGTTCCGGTTCTGGAAAAAGTTTGGCAAAATTTATTCCGTGAATGAAATATGATAAATATGTGATCCATTCCCGACCTAACAGAGCATCAAAGTCTCCTTTGACTACGTAGACATTGAGTTTTGTCGTCTTTTTACCAATCTTCGCATGAACAGGAAGGCGTCCGAGACAGATGACTTTATGACGAGTGTAACTGGCAAATTGTCTATCGGATTTCAGCAGTGAGAATTTTGGTTTTATGGATCGCAAGGTTTTCTCGCTAATTATGGCACATGGTGCACCAGTATCGAGCTCCATTTCTATTCTGTGTCCATCGATTTGGACTTCAATCATACGATGGGCTGCAGATGGATCAGCACCGCAGATTACATTGATTTTTTTGACATAATTGATGAAATCTATATTTTCGAAATTAATACCTTCGACAGGTTGCTCCGAGTTATGAATTTGTGAGATAGCTTCTGTCAGTCTTGACTTACAGACTCGACCTATGTGACCTTTTTTCTTACAAATTCTACAAATTTTGTCCCAGAAAAAACATTGACTGCATAAATGGGAACCTCCACATCCATTACAATAGGGTCTTCTGTTTTCAATCGCTCCTTGTATGCTTCCTTGTGGAGCTCGGTCATCCAGCATTGATTTGTGAATGGACGGCTTATGGTCGCGCCTGGTCTGAGGTGCTGCGTATCCTAACTTGTTCATGGACTCTACCGGAGATTGAGCGGACCCCGCTGCAGTAAGTTTCACTTCATTTGTTATGTGATGTGTCGCTTCCAGTTCGTGTACAATTCGGTAAGCGTCTGTAAAGCTTGTAGGATTTTTATCAATACCTTCATCACACATTTCTCGATATCGGAGTCCATGTAAGAGTGGCTCGACGAGCATTCTATCTAAAAATCCGCCGTATTCGCAATGAGCCGCACCTTGTCTTAAACGGAGAGTAAACTGTGCGACAGTTTCTGGAGCGGACCCCGCTGCAGTAAGTTTCACTTCATTTATTATGTGATGTGTCACTTCCAGTTCGTGTACAAATCTGTAAGTGTCTGTAAAGCTTGTAGGATTTTTAGCAATACCTTTTTCACACATTTCTCGAGATCGGAGTCCATGTAAGAGTGGCTCGACGAGCATTCTATCTAAAAATCCGCCGTATTCGCAATGAGCCGCACCTTGTCTTAAACGGAGAGTAAACTGTGCGACAGTTTCGTTTTCCTGCTGGGTGATTTGCCGGAACTTAATAATTTCAGCGTATTTATTTTTACTGTGATCAAAATGTTCAATTAGTGTCGTTTTTATTGCGGCGTACGAAAGATTTTCCGGAGAACGGGGACTTATTAAAAATTTCAATGCATTATAAAGTTCTGCGCCCATGTGAACTCGCGCATAAGTACCGTGGTCATCAACAGGAATTCTTGAAAGTTGTAACGCCCAATCGAATCTTTTAAAATAATCTTCTACCAATAATTCCTCGGCAAAACGGCCCTCGCTCATTGATAAATGTGTTTGGATGTGTACCAAATGCGTCACCTGCTGCCGGAACGGCATTTGCTGCTGAATTCTGAATCGCATTGATAATCATGTTAGAAAGATCCTGGAGAAGTTCGGGAGGGACCTCGCTCATTGTGTCGGTCGTACGATTACCCCACACCTGACACCACTTTTAAATATTTTTATATTCAATGGATACAAATCACAATGACAGTTCTCCTGACAAAAACTGGTAAGAACAGAATTAAAAGGTATTTACCTGATTAGGTGAATCGATAATACACCTATGAATCAAATAATAAATGATACGCAATTTTAATAAAAAATGATAGAGAAAACAAAACAGAGATATTTCCAAAGGTTCGATGCACTGATTTTTTCGAGTACTTACGTCCACAAAAAATTCACAAGCCGTGGGGTCAAAATTTTTCGCAATGGGCTCTTTCACTAATTTTTGAAATTGGCATATTTGGATAAAGCAACTAAAAACAGAATTTTCTGTATTTTTACTTTTGAAAAATTCATAGTCCTTCTTGAGAAAACAGAAAAAAAAGAAATACCTCCAAATAAAAACCCAGAATTTATTTCTATGACGTCGCAGCTCGCTATTTGACCATGTTGCCACTAATTGTCAACATTGAAAATTTGTAATAGATTTAATTCTGAAATGTTCCCAAAATATCATGAAAAGTAGTTAAATTAATTACTTATGGATTCAAGATTTTATAACATTTTTATTGAAATTATGCTTAAACACAATTTAATATAATTTTCTATGTTTAGTTTTATTTATTTATTTTACGTTGCACTACATTTAGTCACCACCGACATCAGCGCATTCGAACCTTTACCTGCATTTACTACAGGATAAATACAGCAGAGGCGGACAGCTCTTTCCAACAACAAGCGAAATGAAAAATATTTATGCGACGTCAGCAAAGTTTTTAAATAATTCAAATTTTGGTAGTTTAAAATGCCTGTAAAAAACTTATTTAACCTTGTAGAACATTTTTTTTTTGGTATATGTGCCTAAAATAGTCCCTCCTTTGGGATTTTATACCTAAATTACGTATTTAAATTTTAGTGAAAGAGCCCATTGCTAGTGGACGCTATATCTTGTTGAAAGTATTATGTTTAATTATTTCTTCTAGACTGAAATTTTCAATTCGTTGAAAGTTTCGTTGCTCAAAAATTGAAAATTGAAAAAACCACTATATTTTTTAAGAGAGTAAACAAATCTTGGATTTCAATGTTTCAACTTATTTTTTTTAAGCAGACTTTGAAGTTCTTGACATTTCAATCATACTTTGCATTAACTACTTCAAACTTCGAATTTTCATGGTTAAGCCCGTTATGTTCACGTTTACAACTACTCTCCAACATATCCACCATAAAAACCAAGTATTTCTTGAAGTTTCGATAAATATTAAGAAAAAAAGTTGATGATAAGGTAGTGGGAAGATACTTTTTCGAGTACAAGATTCATACAGCTTCCTAAAGTAGAGTCGGAATAATTTGGTAAAGTAAAGACGGAATAGTTTGGCATAATAGGCAATAAAATATGCAAACCAATCACAATCAAGAAACCTGCCCTACAAATGTGAAAGACCGTGGAAGACGTACGTTTTTGTTGTCACATGCTATAAAGAAAGTAAAGTAAAAAGAGACAACTACTGTTTCTCACCGCTTGTCAAATTCGTACAGTCATGCCAGGTAGCGTCTCATTGGTACCCCTGGGTACACACCACCACTGCAATCGTACAACCCTATAATCAGGGTGTCGGTACTAAGCGTTAAGAAAAAGTAGTTCTCTCTTAACTCTACTATATTTATAGATGTGACAACAAAAACGTACGCCATTTCACATTTCTAGGGCGGTTCCCTTAATAATTGCGATTGGTTTGCATATTTTATTGTCCATTATGCCAAGTTATTTCGACTCTACTTTATATTGGGCAATAACAGATGCAACCAGTCACAATTAAGAAAACCGCCCTAGAAATGTGAAAAGGTGTACGCTTTTGTTGTCACTTGCTATAAATATAGTACAGTAAAAAAAGACAACTACTTTTCCTTCTCGCTTAGTACCGACACCCTGAATATAGGGTTTTACGTTTGCAACGGTGGTGTGTTGTGTACCGTGTACCTAGAGGTACCAATGGGACCCTACCTGGGATGCCTGTACGCATTAGACAAGCGGTAAGAAACAGAAACTAAATCAAAATAACTGTTAGTACTAAAATAATGAAATTTCTAACTTTGATGTTGACATTTTGTGTTTAAATGATCATTCGGGAGCCCTAAAACTCAATACACTAAAGTATGAGATTTGGAGCCAAAATCCCTGAAAAAATTCATCAGAAAAATTCTCCCCACATTGCTTAACCCGGCATTACACGCGTCAAAAAACTTACGTCAGTACACGCGTACGGTCAAATCGACCGATTGCTCAAATGTTCCTATGATAAACTAGATTTTTTGGCAGAGACGATCTCAGGCATGATCTACGCAGGCTTACTAATCAATAAAGATATGAAACTTCCAAATACTACCTGCGTAGGTCATGCCTTAGCGTGCAGGATACGTTTAGACTTTGCTCCCAATATCAGAAAATGCCAATTTTGAACGCAAATATTTTAGATACTCAGGATCACGGTTCACGCGCCTGGTCAAAAGCTCCTACTTTGAAAACAACGAAGTATACCTACTTCAACAAAGAACCAAAATATTTTTGGGCCAATGTTTAGTGGAAAGCCTGCATCAGGCTTTCCTGGCTGGATAAAACTGCCACCCTTGTACGAGTGGCGTAATTACTGATTTTATAAATGCTCGATCCTTTTCTCCGACACGCGTGTACTCCCGGGTTAACGCGATTTTATCTCTAAAACTATAAGTCCAAATGAGTTAAAATTTTTAGAGATTGTAATCCTCGACTAGGATAAGATTTAATAAAAATTTCTGCTTTCTATCTTTGAAAGAATTAGAGATACTATTTTTCAAAGTTTTCAAAAGTTATTACACAAGGCCATCGCAGTTTGGGATGCGACGCAACCGGCTGGCGTTCTCTCGTCAACAATGCAATATTGGGACGAGATGACCTTTTTCTGGCCCAATATAACCTATATTAAAATTGCTTAGTGGTTCTAAAAGTATTTAGTTAGTATTTTTTGTTAGGCTGCTGTGACATATTCTAAAATATTTATACCTACATTGTCTAACTATTAGGAACTCGCTTTTAGACATAATTTCTGGATTTGCATTACCTTTCAATTCAAATGTTGCTTCCTCGCCAATTTGTAGGTGTGAAGACATACCATATTTAAGGATACAAACAAAAAATCAATATTTTTTTGAACCGACATATTTTCAGTAACATAGTTATTGGTCCGTCTTTCTTTAGAGTAAATAATTTTTGAACTCTAAATTTTTAAAAAATCGGAAATTTTTAAAAAATCGGAAGATTTTATTTTTGATTCGGGAGCAAAATTAACCACGCACTTCCATATTCCCAAGTTAATTTTTTAAAAACTCTATATAAATAGAAATACATTTTATGCAAAATTCATGGCCATATAGATATATAGGTATATACCCTGTTCACAGTCGGATGTCCACAGGTCCAGGTAAATTTATCACCTTTCCGTATCAAATAGCAAAATGATTAACTTTGTTCCGTTACGGAAAAAATATTTCTTCGAAGTGGAGGGTCCCCTTTTAATGCTCATTGGATTCAAATAATTTGAAAATTTCAAAATATACACAAGCGATTTATAGCACGTTCCTGTACTAGAGAAAATATGCAGTCAAATTATTAACCGCTCGTAAGTTTTTTTCTAAACGATTCCAGACGAAAAAAAAGCCCCCCCTGTCAATATATCAAATTTAATGCCCTCGACTCCATACATTCATCTTAATTGCTTCAACCGAACCATGAATAAAGTCACGCCAGTTGAAGAAAACGTGACGTTCGACTCTTCTTTCAATAATGCACCCGCGAGTTAATCAGTAACTTGTAATACCTATATATGCGATACTCGAAAAATCTGTTGTCTGGGAATTTGTTTTTGCTTTTGTTTTTTTTAGGATGTGATTTAAGACTGAAAGAACGCCTATTTTTTTACTTGAGACGTGTGTTACACCTGCCAAATCTCGTTCGAACGTTTTCAACCGGAAATAAAATTAAATTATTTTTGAAGATATATACAATACATGATAAGAACCTAAGTATAGGAAAATCTTATTTTTTATCACCTTTCGAGCCCACATTCAATTTCGGATAAAAAGGAAAACTGATTAGAGAAGAAAAATCTGTATTTGTCTGGAATTTCAGAAATAGGAAAATTATCTTCATATACTGTAAGTCTGTCACAAAATTGAATATAAATGGCCAGTCAAAGCTTTAAAAGGGAAATATTGGTAGCCAGTCTTCGAGGTAAGTGGATTGGTAAGTAAACTTGATTAAAACTGGACCATGCCTGCATATTATTAATATGAAACTGACTATTCAAAAATGAATTTACTATGAAGTACCAGCATAATGTAATTTTAGTAGTGTTAGGTAATTGTCATTAGGTATAAGACTAGTAGTGAGAGAAAATTTTGAGTTTATGTAGATACATGTCTGTATAGAAGGCAATACCAAGAAACATAACGAACTATAAACAATTTTTCACAGTCTAATTGGACATGGTTGCAGCGGTTAAAGGATCACATTATACACATAAACCTTGCCTCTGAGACGAAATAAAAAAAAAAATTTACACGACTGGGCTCAATTATTGGGATACTCGGATTTCGTACCACAGCACCCGGATCCTATTTTATTACCTTTGCGGCAGCGAAAGGTGAATGTTCCCATACGTGACTCATTTTATTTTTCGAGCTTATTTATTTTGGCCCCACAATGGCACAAATTACAAAAGATTTGAAAAATACCCTAATGTTTCTGGTCAAATGTCAAATTTAGATAAGGAAAAAATAAATTTACTCTTATGAGTGGAGAAATTCTACGCCGAAACACCCGCCAAATACGACGTCCTACGCTATAAATAGCAATGATTGTAGTCTAGGGGGGTTGGCGG